TCCTGCCAGCCCCCCCTGCCAGCCCCCTCCTGCTGCAGGTCGGGGCCCAGCCCAAGCCCCAGCTCCTCCAGCATTCCCAGCTGCCTCCCAGTGGCACAGCCCGTGCCAGGCGGTGCAGGACAAGCAGCCAAGCTGCTCTGCACGCTCAGCCCCCGGCAGTTTGGGGTGCAGCAAAACCAGATTCACCTTCATTTCACAGTCCTTCACAAGTTCTCATGTTCTTTCTCGGTACACAAAAGGCAGGCCTTGCTTCCAGGCTGGGATGGAAGGGCACTGCAGCTCTGCTGGCAGCACAGCAGCCTTAGAAGCAGTTATTTTATCAATAATAGTTTCTTTAACAATCAAGGAGATTCCAGCACTTGTTTTGCCCTGAGGCTGCCAGCCCTTCTGAAGGGAATGGGGCTTTAGTGTGAATTATCCCACATCCCCTGAGATGCCAGGAGCAGCCTTTGTCCTTGCTCTGCCTGCCTGAGTTCTCTGTGCTGGCACCCAGCTCTGGCTGCCAGGACACTCCTCCCAGGCACAAAATGAGTCTCCCCTCCAGGTCAGAGCTGTGCAGCCATCAATGCTCTTCAGAGTCAGGAGATTTTAAAACTCAATGCTTTGTTGGGTGCAGCTGGTGTGCCTGCCAGCCCTGGGCATGCCAGCCAGCTCTGTGGCTGCCCACAGGGCTTAGAATGGAATAATGGAATAATTTTGGTGGGAGAAGTCCAACTGTTAACCCAACACGTTGCAAAATGAGTTGAGTGGGATGGGGGGTGCATTTGCTGCGATAACTGTGTGGTTATTGCAGTTTTGTTGGAAATGAGATGTTTTGGAACACAGATGCACTGTCTGTTAGGATATAGGCAGGTTCTTCTGACTGTGTTTTTGTATTTGTGCATATGTTTTTAGAAGCATTTTGGATGCTTTGTGTGAGGATGTGGATGATGGGTGAGGCAAGATGCTTGGTCTTCTTAGTGCACTTCTGTTCTTGCAAATGAAGTTTGGAGAGAAGTCTGAAAAGGATTTTAGAGACACCTCCCTGGAATAAGACACAAAACCCCTTAAGCAGCCAGTTTGAGGGGTCTGGGTCTATCTGGACACCCAGACATTCAGGGTTATCTGGCCTTGGCTGCAGTGGGTGCAGGAGGAAGGAGCCAGGAGCCCTGTGCTGGGGAGCTCTCCCAGACACATCCCTCTGGGGCTTCTCCACAGGATCCAGGGCTCTGTGACCCCACAGCACAGCACGGCCACCCCAGGAGCTGGGGCTGCCATGGGATTCCCCAGGAGCAGAGCATTCCCCCAGACTGTGTGTACTCTTAACATCACTTAAATGAAACATGGCAGGAGAGCCACGATCACAGAGCCCAGCTGGGTCCGTTGGGTGGCTGGCAGAGAGCATCAGTAGTTAACAGAAAGCCACTTACAGCTCTGCTCCTGTTAAATCCCCCATCAATTATAAATACTGGATGAATTATTCACTTAACATTACTGAAGTCATGGTCTGCACCTAACAATTCTTTTTAACATTTATTTAAATAAACAGTTGTGAGGCTGTGGACTTGCTGTGCACTGTCAGGGTGTGAGAGATGCTTTGAAGGGACAAATTCATTGTACAGCTTGGGTTGGAAATCCCATCTTGTCTCCTGGGATCATCAGAGCTGGTGCTTGTCTAGAAAGTATTTTCTTGTATTCATCAGTGGTGGAAGCCCTTGAAAGTTCTGTTCCTCCATCCCTGCACCTTCAGCCAGGCTCAGGACAGTTATTTTCACCCCTTCCTCATTTTCAGCCCAGCTTTGGCCAGGTGGGAAGCAGACTCTTGCCATTCACGGGTAGCAGGGAAAATCCAGCAAGGAGCCGGGATGGGAGCTGGGGCGCTGGCTGCCAGGCAGATGGCTCTGCCTTATGAATTTTGTAAGAGGAATGGGTTTGAACACTTTCCAAGCCCGGAGCCATTGCAGGCAGGTTTTCTAGCGGCGGGGGTAGCACTTGGCCCTGGTTGTCCCTGTCTTTGCTCCGGTTTCATGTTCTGGATTTCCTCCACGGAGCTGTAACTCCGCTTCCGATTGAATCTGGATCCCAGCCTGCAACAGCTCCTGGTGTCTCAGCTGCTGTGCTGACACCCAGAGCTCAGCAGGGCAGACCCAGTGCCCGTTCTCCTTGGGCCACAGCAGAAACTGAGTCATGGCAAGAGATGGATTTCCAAGTTGGAGTCAGTCCTAGGGAGCTTTAAAACAAGCCCTGGTCTCTCAGCTTGTAATGTATACACACCTGCTTGTGCTTGTAGAGGTGTCCACTGCTGAAGGTGCCTTCTTTGGGGCAGGAAAGGCTGGAGCAGGGGCTGGGAATTGTCTGGGACTGGGAACAGCACAGGATGATGAGCTACTGTCACTGTGGGAAGGACCAGACCCTGCTGGGATTTCCCTCTGGAGACTGCTGTGAGGGCAGGATGGGGCTGGGCTCTGGTGCCCTGGAGGTGATGCTGGAGATGGAAGGTGGTCCATCATGAGCATCAGGGAGACAAAGGCATGTCTGCAAAAGGATTCACCTCAGCTGCCTCGGGTGTCCAGAGGCATCACTAAAACCTTGGGCAGGGACAACAGAAGGGCAGAGCCACTGCTTGAGGACCCTGTCCCATGCCTTGCCCTGCTGGGGCTGCTTTCACAGACCATCTCCCTCCTTCCTGAGGGTTTGCTGCAGCAGAATGGAGAGATGTAAAGTGCAAGTCAGGGTGGAACGATTGTACCTTGTGGACAGGATTTCTTGCAGTAGTGGCTGAACACCAGGTAAAAGCAGCTCCTGTGTCTGTGAGGGGGCACTGCAGCCCTGCTGGGGGGGCTGGTGGGTGCGAGTTTGACATCAGGTTTCTTTAATGAAGCCGTGAAATTCATCAGCACAACAATGAACCATTTCGACCGAAAGCGGCGGTACAGGTGTCCAGATATTCTTCCCACTTCCCAGAGGA